TTGTCGATCTGGAGTGCTTTTTCATTATTTGTATCAAAATGAAAATTTATGGCAGACAGCTGGCGATGAATTGCATTTTGTAGGAGGCTCGAGAAATGGTGCACTTTGTACATGTATATCATTTCAAAATCTATCTCATCATAAATTATGTTTCACTATAGCCATGTTGGTTTTTCTAACTTTTTTAGTGAAAGCATATATATATGGCGACATTTCTACGTACATTTTTTGCAGCCCACTTTTTATTGGTTTAAGTCAGACCATGATGAATGCCCTTTCTTTCTGAATAATAACATCGAGGTTGATGTAATTACGGGTGTTGGCTTTCTCGCCCTTTTAACATAACATCTGAGCAGAACTACATACCTTTTCCTTCACATCTGACCACCCTGGAAGTTCTACGTCGTCCAGAAACCCTTTCTTTTTTTTTTCCCTTTCTTTTGGTGGTGGTGGAGGGTTATTCGTTGAGACAATTTAGGGCCAAATGGGATAATTATCCCGTTGGAACAATGTAAATCCATCAGGATAATTGGAGATTGATAAAGTGAGATAATTTGGATAATGAGACAATTTAATAGTAGTATTGATACAATTTAAGTAGGATAATTGATGATGTGACATCTTATTAAAATGTGATATTTTATTTATTGATTAAGTCTAAGTTAAAATTTTCAATTTGTTTAAATATGATATTTAATATGTTATGATAATAATGTAATTAAATACATTATAATATGTTACCATAAGACATTGCAATATAATACAATATAATAGAAAAAGTTGATTAATATAATATAATAATATCGTATTATATTATACTGTGTTGTTACCCCATTATACAATATAGTATTATGGCTGCCATNTAATACATTAACAATATATTTAATACTCATAATTAATATAATAAAATATATTATAGTATAATAGTTATAATATTATACTAATTGTAATATAAGTCTAATTAATTTGTGTCATTTGTTCAATATAATATTTAATATAATATTTTAATATGCACATAATTAATTTGCAATCGTTCAAAATGAATAAGTTGTCAAAAAATGTGAGTTATAGCTTTTAAAACCGACGAATTTTGAGGTACACATAGTAAATTTGTATTTATTCAAAACAAACTAAAATTTACAAAAATCATGGGTTATAATTCATGCAAATTACAAATTTTGAAGAACGCATATTAAATTTGCAGTCATAGGTAATGAACAAAAATTGACTAAAATTTTGGCTTATAAATCATAAAAATCACAAATTTTAATGTGCACATAATAAATTTGTACTTGTTTAAAACAAACTAAAATTTACAAAAATCGCGGGTTATAACTCATGAAAAATCACAAAATTTGATGTATACATAATAAAGTTACATTCGATGGAAATGAACAAAAATTACAAAAAAATGTGGGTGATCATGAAAAATGTGAATTTTGATATACAACTAATAAATTTGCATTCATATGAAATGAACAAAAGTTGAAAAAAATCATGGGTTATAGCTCATGAAAATCACAAATGTTGATGTAGATATACTTAATGTGCATTCATTGGATATGAACAAAAGATATCAAAAATCAAGGGTTACAGCTAATAAAAGTTTGTGAATTTTTATGGACACATAATAACTTTGCATTCGTACAAAATAAACGAGAATTTACAAAAGTCGTGGGTTATACCTAATGAAAATCATAATTTTTAATGTGCACATAACAAATTATCATGTATTCAAAATGAATATTGACAAAAATCGTGGGTTATGTCATGCGAAAATTATGAATTTTGATGGCACATAATAAATTTTCATTTGTTCAAAAACATATACAAATCGAGGGTTATAGCTCATGAAATCATGAATGTTGGTCTCCATGAAATTATCAAATGAGTCGGAACGATTAAAAATAACCACAAATCGTGAGTCATAACTCATGAAATCACAAATCGTGGGTTAGCATGTAAATAGTGAATTCTAGTCTCCTTGAATTTTTTTTTGTCAATGGGTCAGAACGATTAAAAATGGCTAAAAATTGAGGGTTGTAGCTCATGAAATCATAAACTTTGGCCTTCGCAAACTTATTTGTCTGTGTCAGAACGACTAAAAATGATCAAAAATTTCTAATAAAAATGACTTAAAATGGGCAAACTTCGTGGGTAAAAGATCATGAAATGGTGAATTTTGACATTCACGAAATTATTTGTCAATGTGTTAGAATGATAAAAAAATGGCCACAAATCGTGAGTTATAGCTCATGAAATCGTGAATTTTAGCCTCCTCGAAATATTTGTTAATGGGACAAAACGAGTAAAAATAGCTAAAAATTATAGGTTTTAATTTAAGAAATTGTGATTTTTGGACTACGCAAAATTATTCGCCAATATCTTGAAATGACTAAAATGGTTAGAAATTGTGGGTTACATATCATGAAATCATGAATTTTGGACTTTGTGAAAATATTTACCAATGGGCAAAAACAACTAAAAATGGCATAAATTCATGGGTCATAGCTCATGAAATCGTAAATTTTAAACTTTGTAAAATTATTTGCCAATGGATAGAAACGGTTAAAAGTGACAAAAAATTATGGGTTATAGTTCAAGAAATTGTGAAGTTTGAACTCTTAAAAGTTATTTTTTAATGAGTCAAAATGAATAAAAATGACCAAAAATCATGGGTTATATAGCTCATGAAATCGTGAATTTTAGCCTCCACAAAATTATTTGCTAATGGGTCAGAACATCTAAAAATTACCTCAAAATCATGGGTTATAGCTCATGAAATCAAAAATTTTAGCTTCTACGAAATTATTTACCAACATGTTGGAACGACTAAAAATTGCTACAAATCTTGGGTAGTAACTCTTATGAAATTGTGAATTTTGATCGTGAAATTATTTGCCAAAGGGACAAAATGAATAAAATTGGCCGAAAATCGTGGGTTAAAGCTCTTCAATTGGACATCTTGAAATTATTGCCAATGCATCAGAATGAATAAAAATGGTAATAAATCTGGATTATAGCTAATAAAATTAATAATTTTGGCCTCATGGATACTATTTGCCAATGGGTCAGAACGACTAAAAATAACTACTCGTTGATTATAGCTCTTGAAATCATAAATTTTGACTCGTGCAAAATTATTTGCCAATGAGTCACAATGACTAAAAATGATAAAAATTCATGGGATACAGCTCAAGCAATCATAAATTTTCACTTTCAAGAAATTATTTTCCAATGAATAGAAATGATTGAAAATGACTAGAAATCTTGGGTTTATAACTCATGAAATCATGAATATTGGACTCCGTAAAAATATTTGTCAATGCATAGGAACAACTAAAAATGACCACAAATCTTAAGGTGTAGCAAATGAAGTCTTGAATTTTGGATTCCACGAAATTATTTATCAATGGGTATAGACTAAGAAAAATGGCTAAAATTAGTGGTTTAAAACTCATGAAATCTTAAATTAGGGTCCGCAAAATTATTTGCGACTTGGTAGAAGTGACTAAAAATGCCCAAAATTTATGAGTTATATCTCATGAAATCGTGAATTTTGGACTCTATAAAATTATCTACCAATGGGTAAAAATGACCAAAAATCGTGGGTTATAGCTCAAGAAATTATGAATTTTAGACTCAGCAAAATTATTTCCCAATGAGTTAGAATTACTATCTAGTTGTTGTTCTTTTCACGAGTATTAATTTTACTTGGATGATAATAGGATATGTTATGCTTGCCTTAAGTGATAAGATAGTCTATACTTAATAATCTAAAGTAATATGTGATAAAAGAGAATAGTTCATGAATTTATAAGTGAAATTGGCTAGTAAATTTAATTCTAGATTTCTTATATCTCTAATTGAATCCTACATCTTTACTTTCTTAAATTTCCTCTTTATTCTTGATTTTTCTTTATTTGCTTCTTGTTTTTTGTTGGGCGCAGAGTCACACCCTCACGCCACAGAAGCGATATAACCTGAGAGAAAGCACTGGCTTTTGTTATCACAAAAGCTCAAGTCAACCTATATATTCCCGTTTCATGAAGGAAACAAGAACAGAAAGTAAAATATCTCAACAAAGTAAAATATACACTCTTCCTCTCATCAGTTCTAGGACTGACTTATCGAGGGAACCTACAAGCAATAGCCAAAATCCAGAAAATAGTAAAGACACGAGATTTACGTGATTCGGTAAACTTGCCTACGTCCACGGGGAAGGGGGAGGGGAGATTCCCCTATGCGAAGAACACCGACGACTTGTACAATCCACAAGCTCGTCTCAAAAGAAGAAGATTTTATTTTTACCCAAAAATTGACCTCTCTCTTGTAAAATCTCTCCAAAGCTCTCTCCTCAAGATTTCTCTTGATACGGGTGTATCTTCTCTTCGGAAAAGTGATCCTCATGGGAGCTTAAGGATATGTGATTCTCATGATATCTTGAGAATAGTGGTGTTAAGCGACACAACGGAGCACAGGATGGAGCGTGAAGCGAGTCGGAAGAATGAAGAATCAAAGATTTCAGTTCTCAGCCTGATGAGTCGACTGACGGGTTTATGAGTCGATTGACGGTTGATGAGTCGACTGACGGGTTGATGAGTCGACTCAAGAAAACGCCTCCAGATAGAAAAATACTTCTGCTGAGTCGACTTATGAAAATCATGAGTCGACTCATGCAGGCCAGCACAGTTTGTGCACATTTTGAGTCGACTATGAGTCGACTGGTGATCATGAGTCGACTCATCTCAGTCATGAGTCGACTCATAAAGGTTTCCTGGGCAGACTTGGTTTCTGTTTTGAAGGAATCCTAGCTGGGTTTGGTTTTGGTTATTTACCAGATTGCCACCACGTTGTAAACCCTATAAATAGGGATTGTTTAGGGTTCTAAACAGGAGGGTGAGAGACCAGATGTAGATCTAAAGGGTTTTAGGTCTAAGTGAGATCCTAATCAAAAGGATTAGGATTTAGATTGTGAGGATCTAT